TGTCACATGACTAGATTATTTATGGCTGAGTGCGGCGTTAAACAAACAAACAAACAACCGTGATCATCAGTGACAATCGTTTTTGGTATCACGACCGTCATGCATATTGATACTTTAATCGATGTAATTATTTCTGTTTGTTCTCATGCGTTATTACAACAAATGGTATAATCTCCAGTATTGTTATGATTAAAATAACCACCGGTGTCATTATTTCCGCGAAGACGTGTCCAATTCACCAGCATCGCCGGAGGATACGTATCTTCTTTCCCCAACACTCACATATAAACAGTCACATGACGTAACTGTGAAAGAGGCACATGACGTAATTATGGAAGGTCACACGACGAACCTGTAAAAGAGTCACGTGATATAACTGTGAAAGAGTCACATGACGTAACTGTGAAAGAGTGCATGACGTAACTGTGGAAGAGTCACATGACGTAACCGTGAAAGAGTCACGTGAAATAACTGTGGAAGAGTCACATGACGTAACTGTGAACGAGTCACATGACGTAACTGTGGAAGAGTCACATGACGTAACTGTGAAAGAGCCACATGACGTAACTGTGAAAGAGCCACATGACGTAACTGAAAGAGCCACATGACGTAACTGTGGAAGAGTCACATGACGTAACTGGGAAAGAGTGCATTACGTAACTGTGAAAGAGACATGACGTAACCATGAAAGAGTCAGATGGCAAAACTGTGAAAGAGTTACATGACGTAACTGTTAAAGTCACATGACGTAACTGGGTAAGAGTCACATGGCGTAACTGTGAAAGAGCCACATGACGTAACTGTGAAAGAGACATGACGTAACTATGAAAGAGTCAGATGGCAAAACTGTGAAAGAGTTACATGACGTAACTGTTAAAGTCACATGACGTAACTGGGTAAGAGTCACATGACGCAATGAAGTAAATGTAATGACCACATGATTCACAGAAGACAAGGTCTTGTGACTTCATTCATTTGTGTAATGAGGAGATTCTCGGGCCGCCCACAATACACTATAACCCAGTAAACTATTTTCATGAAACATAAAAATGTGCCGACTCTGACTAGGATCGATTTAGCCCTTGACGTACAAGAAGTCACAGCGTGGGGTTCTCGTTAGACTCTTTCCCAGACCCCCAGAGAATAAATATAAAATACTATTCCAACTGAAAGTCTAGACTGCCTCAATTCCTGAAATTGAGGACTGTTCTTTTACCAAGCCATGTATCTGCATCACCCGTGTAGTATAGTTAACTGACACGCCGTGATATGACAACACCATCACCCAAAGCAGCTTTATCGCAACTCATTCACTCACCAAACTCGTTTAATCCTGGAATTACTCTCATCACTAAAATCGTTTCTGTCGTCCCCTTTAGGGATTTCAAAGCGCAATCGGACCCCTTACCCAAGAAATGATAGTATTGACAGATAATTCACAGATGGTAATTACTTCCGGTATAGGTTTCACGAGCGCGCCAGCATCATCAGCATCAACTACAGCATCTATACATATGTCCACATAAGATAGGTAAATGAAAGACGCCTCTCAGTCACACACCCGCGACAATGACGCTAAATGTTGTGTAGGTCCATGGAACGAATAAATGGAAGAGAGCCATGGCAACCAATTCAAGTCAGTCGGTCTCGTGTGCCGTTGTCAGCACCTTCATCAAAGCTCAAGCGGAAATTATCACGACCGTATTGTGTGATATCAGTGTCTGATAGCAGATAAAAACACTTATTGAGGAAGGGAATGTATTTGAATTTGTCCTCCGGAGACGTTTCCCTAAAGCTAATATTGAACACACGTATATTGAATTTCAGCAATGTTATTTCTCATGTTGTATTACAGTAATCAGACAGAGAAGCACACTATCATGCAAATGGTTTCTGGGTTCCATTCGGGAAATGATAGTTGAATAGATGACACATGGGAATAAAACAATATTTTTTTCAATTGATTAGGCTTATGACACGTAAACACTTATTTGCCTCACAACCGGGGTAAAGCTTTTAAGCACATGTGTAGATTATAATGGTACTATATAACGCATATATTATTCGTATATCTCTGTTTTTGGAATGTAACGTTGGTTCCGCCTTGACAAATCTAAATTTACATATACATGGATATGTAAATTTAGATTTGAACATTTTTGGGGGTTTTTTTTGTTTGTTGTTTAACGCCGCACTCAGCAATATTCCAGCTATATGACGGCGGTCTGTAAATAATCGAGTCTGGACCAGACAATCCAGTGATTGACATTATGAGCATCGATTGTACATGTAGTTAAATTTTTATATACTACCCATTAACTCGACCAGGTCTTACTTCGCAGTTAGCAATGTTTCAGCTATATCACTGTTGCATAAATAGTCGAGTCTGAGCCAATCACCCCTTTCGGGAAACAATGGCGCCCTGTCATCCACAAGGTGATCCCGACCCTCATTTGCCGGCTCTGACAAGAAGGAATGTGGTCCTGGCTCCTGTCCTAGAACCCTCACAGAGGAGTAACTCCAAGTGAACTTATGCGAGGAGTGTCCGTGCGGTGGCGAGGGCCGAAGGTTAGATGCGAGTATCAATCAGTTCCATCACGAAACCTGTAGCCAAATATGTGTGAAGTATACAATTGCACACTAATGCAGCCAAGACGCTGTTCCTCTCTGCTTCTGAAACCGTCACCCAATTATCGTATGCCCGCATGCTTAATCGCTTCTAAATTAATACGTCAATGCAAATGTAGCAGGGCGTTGATTCATCCCACAGATGACATCCTAACCTTGTCAGCTTGCTGACGGGGTTAACCTCTTTGGTTGTGTGGACAAGGCGTCCGACCTGTCATCAGAAGGTCTGTGGTTCGAATCCCATCACGGGACTCGGAAATTTTATGGCCACTACGTTGGCGCCCAACATGGGGCTGAGCACGTTCATAATAGATTTGAGCAAAATAAGCCTCAGTACCCTACTATGCGGTCTGGGACGTACCTTCTGTTGACGGGGAAGTATGTAGCAGGGCGTGGAGTCATCCCACAGATGACATCCTTACCTTGTCAGCTTGCTGACGGGGTTAACCTCTTTGGTCATGTTGACAAGGAGTCCGACCTGTGATCAGAAGGTCCGTGGTTCGAATCCCATCACGGGACTCGGAAATTTTATGGCCGCTACACAAACACCATACAAATTTCTATATTCACCCACCTCGAAAACCTGTCGTGTGCCAGCTTCCATCTCCCTACTTATATTTACTCGATGTTTAATGTTTGTCCAATAGCTTGGTAACTCATTATCTCTTTCTGTGGCATGTAAACTGCCGGGCAAAAGAAAGTTTACACCTTTGTCTGATGGTGGCTAAAAATGAGACAAACAAGAAATGGTTATTCGATGGTGATGTATTTGATGACTGTTTTCAGTCTAGTAACGTTTTGATAACGTTTGTACTGGTTTGGACAAATCCAATTTTCAAGTGTATGCTTTCTTTTTCAGTCTGTTTCAATAACGGATTTGCAGTGCCTTAAATGTATATAAAACAATGTGGTGTTATTGGGTCATGGAAGGTATAACGATTGGCAGATGATCGAGAGAGAAAAATATCATGAGCCAGTTTTGCGAAAATCTGCTCAGATCAGAGTGAAAACAACCAATTCTTCGCTCCGTCAAACGTTTCCCCCAAAAACATACAATTCAGATTTTCACACAGTTGTGCCTGTGATCCCTCATCATGTTCAGCATCTCCTTGAGTGAATAGATGAAAATATTTTACGTAGCGATCAGCAGTATTACAAATTTAGTATCCCCGTGTTATGGGTTTTCGGACGCCTCAGAAAAAAATGATAGTTTTCTCTCTAATCTCATGAACAACTGTAAAACATCTCATTCACTTTAATAAGAAACTTTCAACGAAAAACAAGCCACCATCTGAGTAATTACAATGTCTGTTAGATGCTACACTTCCCGTTATAGCGCGTGTACTCGCGATAAACACGGCCGTCCGAAAAAGTATGATGTCCGGGAACACATGATCCGACGATATATCATGGTAGCCTGTGATTAACAGGACTCATCTGGACCAGATAAACCAGTGCTTGACAGCATGAGCAACGATCCAAATCGCCAGGATACGATTGCACACAATCAATTTTTCTTTCTTCAGTAAATTATTATACATGTAATATATATTAACACAGTTAGAATTTCATTTTAGTAAGACTAATTGGAAACAGACCTCAATTATCTTTGATTTGTAGCACATTGTCAATCCGTGATCTTACAACCGTGAATAATGTGAATAAATTCGTGATTTATATTAATGAAACTCTTTGCTTATGTAAACATAATCCATCATACAGGTCATGAGATGTGACACGTTCAGCCCATGAATTGCGGATATGTTCATGAACAGCATAGGCTCACAGCTACTTCTTCTACTTCTTTGTTGTTAATATTTATCTTTTACTTACCTACTTGCTCGCTCGCTCACTCGTTCACTCACGCACGCACGCACGCACGCACGCACGCACTCACGCTCTCACTCGCTCACTTTTTCAAATATATTGTATCAAACAAATTGAATCCCCAATATTTTATGATCTTTAAAAAGGGGGACTGCGCTCGAGCTAGTGCTCGTCTCCAGTCTTTATGATTAGTGACATGTTTAAACTGAGTTATTATCGGTTTAAGGCAACACTTAATTTCCAAATGTCCCCGATAATGAAATAACATTAATATCTTATATTATTTTATTCAAGCAGTTCCCTTGGGCTCGTGTCAAATGTTCAATAAATATTATGTACTACATTACAAGTCGCATGAAATGAAAAGATCGTATTATTTGTCATGAGATACTTCATAAACATCAATGGCAGTCGAAAAAGTAAGTAGGTTCCAAACATTCCCATATCCCAAACTAAATTAACTTATTTTTTATTGGCTTCATCGAGTTTTAGTGGTATGTCGAGAGTTCGTAGTAAAATGGAGTTATCTCCCTTACACTACGCTGTGAGGAGCTTGACAAAACGATGGGTGCCGAGGAAGAACACACGGACATGGCATACGCTTTGAGCGTCAAGGAACCATCCGAGGAAAGTTTCATGGATCAATTGTTTGACTTTGCCAATGAAACAAAAAACGACGGAGCAATCAACTCGCGGAGAAGTTTATGTCCACGTTGCAGGTCGGTGTGTTGTGGTGTAAACATTGACCATTGAGCTCATACAGTTTTCGCGCACTCACTGACTGACTGGCTGTTGTAATGTGCTTTTCTGTTTAAAGGCGTCCCCTGAGAGTTTGTTGGTGTCCCTACCTGCCACACGAACGACTGGAGATAAAGACAAGCGTTTATATTCTCCAACATCCATTTGAGGTAGCTGTTAGCACGTGATGGAATATACGTGATTGCTATAGTATTGCACAGTTGTCATGATTGTGCATGTTAATTTTGGGTGCAGGCTAAAACGTCACCGATTTCTCTGTCGAAAACGGCACCGCATTTGGCGAAAACGGCTACTATGTGTCGGGCGAAAACGGCACCTCTATTTTTAAGAACGATAACAACGATTTTTGTAGTAATATATAGGGTTTATTTACATGGTATTTGATGTATTTACATGTCATTTGATGTATGCGATGTATCTACATTGTATTTCCTGTTTTCACAGATAAGTAAATATGTTCATATATACAGTTTTGTGGCATGTCCATCATCAGCATCATCATCATCCTCTTCACAATATTGGTCCATGTACAACAGAACATTGTGAGAGTACTTGGGTCAGGGAGAGATCGCCATCTCCATCCTATAATTGGAGTAGAGGCTAATTTCTAATGTAGACTTGTTTTAACATCTCACAATTATTGGCGTTTGCAAGTTACAATGTAAGTTTAATATCATTTATCTGACCAAGGTAAAAAAAAATTAAGGTGCCGTTTTCACTCGAGTTGAGGTACCGTTTTTGCCAATTGGTGCCGTTTTGCTGAGGTGCCGTTTTCGCTATAACCCGTTAATTTTTGTGTATATTATTATAATTATTACAGTAAATGTCAGTATAATCATATCTTTACACATATCCTATTGTTTTGTTTAAATGCTATATTTTAGCTTCTCTTTTTAATGTGTATAATTAATTTCTTTCTGTATCAATATTGTATTTTCAGGAGTCCAGATGTCTAAAAACGGCCCCCATGCTCTGTAATGGCTTGAAGGAAGGTACTTGTCATGTTTACAAGGGAAAGAGATTTCCTAAACATAAGTAAGAAATCATTGTGATTTGTATAGTAACTTAATCTTGCCTCAATATGGACTTCATCATTAGTTACTACGGTTACCAATAGTAAGGGCCTACTATCATGTTAGATGTCAACATGATGGATTGTGTCATATAGTGTACCAGTTTTAGATCAGTTAACCTCGCAGAGATTTTGAAACTGAAACATTGGTGATGCTAATAATGGCAGTTTCATTTAGACAAAAGTACAGGGCTAAAGGCAAAGTCTGGTTAGAGTTTCAGATATCAAATTCAGGGTTAAAGGCAAAAATACGGGTTTTTCCCCTAAGATCTTGTTATGCTCCCATGGTTCCTTAACCGCTATATAGCTTGTTTGAAATAAACTGTGGGCTAGATGCTTGTCGGTCATGGATACAGTTTTTTCACAAAGGTTTTCAGTCTAAGATATTTGGGCCTGGATCTTATGTTTTGGTTATATCAATTCTGGAGAAGATATTTAATCTTTGTTTAAAACTTAAAATTGACATTTGTTTCCAATTTGTTGTTAATTTTGCTCTTTATACAACTTCAGAAATTAACGTATATATATATGTTTTCTTGGCAGGTTCCCTGAGTTGATGAGAGTCCTGCAGGCTCCCAACACGCTGGTACTTTATCCCGGCCCTGATGCTATTGACATCTCCGATGTTCCCACTGACGTCGCCTACAACCTGGTTCTGCTGGATGGAACGTGGGCCCAGGCAAAGGGTCTTTACTGCCAGAACCACGTCATTCAGCTGCCAAAGAAGGTATAACCACGGAAACCATCTTCTTTCCAAACAAGGGCGGTCGGGTAGCCTAGTGGTTAAAGCGTTCGCTCGTCATGCTGAAGACCCGAGTTCGAATCCCGACATGGGTACAATGTGTGAAGCCCATTTCTGGTGTCCCCCACCGTGATATTGCTGGAATATTGCTAAAAGCGGCTTAAAAACACACTCACTCATTCACCCACTCTTTCCAAACACGATGTTGTAAAGATATGTTTATTGTCAGTTGATTTTGTATATTTAAGAAATTAGATTATTATCTTGTTTCCCAAAATATTCAGCTAAAGCTGTAGTTCACTGATATATACGTCTCAAATTCATATGCAGGTACAAATCAACCACCAGGAGAAGAGTAAGTACGTGATCCGAACTCAGCCGACCGATGGCGCCCTGTCCACGCTGGAGTCTGGAGCTGTCGCCATCTCAGTCCTGGAAAACAGACCCGAAATAGTAGAGGTACTTCCCCATTACTTACACTGACAGTAGCCACTAGTCCGAAGCCTGAGTCGTGTATTGTACAGTTCGATCTAGTGAGCTCGGCTAATAATAGTGAGTGAGTGAGTTTAATTAAAGTCACGTCGGCAATATTTCAGCCATAATGTGACTTGAACAAGTTATACAATATGTATAAAAACTGTCAACAAAGGACAGTATAATAACTAGCAATATATCACCGACTGACTTAAAACTAGTTGTGGAACATTAAAAATATCTGATTATTGGGGTACAACACGATAGTGAGTGAGTGAGTGAAATTTTACGCCGCTTTTAGCAATATTCCAGCAATATCACGGCGGGGGACACCAGAAATGGGCTCCACACATTGTACCCATGTCAGGAATCGAACCTGGGTCGTAGGCGTGACTAGCGAATGCTTTACCCACTAGGCTAACCGACCGCCCCCACAACACGATATATAAATGGGGCTATAGATCGCCAGCAAGGGGTACGGTACCTCCACTACCTGCATGGTTCCCCAGCAGGATTTACACCTTTCCCCAAGTTACTGGCGATTGTTGCACGTTTAGCCAGAGGTCAAAACAAACAAATATTCAATCACTGGTAGATATAAATACACTTTGAAAGAGGTTGCCTTACAAGCTAATAATAGATTATAACACTTAGCCCTACTGAAATTGATGCTTAGAGCCAAGTTCGGGCAAGTGGGCTCAAACGTTTATGACACTGACTGCTTGACTGCTGATTGATTGCTGTAGTATTAAAAATGTTGAAAAGATCCTTCTTATAAAGAGTGTAGTGTTCGAATCCCAAACTCAAGTTTTTTTGGTGACCTTATTTGGATTCTGGGGGAGACTAGGTCCCCAGTGTGCCATGTTTGTGGTAAGACCCTACTAAAGGGGATCAGGTGGTCAGGCTCCATGCATAGGTCGATTGTGTCATAGTGATCTGATGGCATGGGTGCTCATGCTTTCAGTCACTGGTTTGCCAGGTTCAGACAATTTATATTTCTTGGACTGTGGTTTTATTACCAATTTGTTAAATTTAGGTTACTTAGCATGCCTAGTGTTTGTGTGTCCATGTAGTCATGATAGTTTGTAACTACTAGCATGTAAACTGGATTAATTGTGGACCTGACACAAAATAATGGAGTGCCTGAAGTCATGAATATCAATTCTCTAGCACAGGGGCTTGTAATGCAAAAAAGGGCAGCTACAAGATATATGGTCACACCCAGTGTAAGTATACTATATGAGTGAGTGAGTGAGTGAGTATGATTTTACGCCGCCTTTAGCAATATTCCAGCAATATCACAGCGGGGGACACCAATAATGGGCTTCATACATTGTACCCATGTCGGGAATCGAACCCGGGTCTTCGGCGTGACGAGCAAACCCTTTAACCACTAGGCTACCCGACCACCCCATATATGAAAGGATAGTATACAAGCCCCTGTGCTATCCAGTAAGATCTAAGTTAAACGTTTGCCTTGGAGTAGCCCAGTGTTTGAAGTGTTTGCACACCACACTGATGACCCTGTTTTAATTCTCCCATATCAATTTATATATTTGAAACCCATTCCACTGAATATAGACAACAGATTCTACTCAAGTTCCGCATTTACCCTACATATTTGATCATTGATAAATTGTCATCGATGCCCACATTCTGTTAATGGCCCCTGGCAGTTAAAGTGCTCACCAGGACAAGGGGTCACTTTTAATGATCGTATATCTGAAATGATAAGCGATGAAAAGTTCTGGCAAAATTAGGAGCATGTGTGTCCCAGTGGTGTAGGATTTCAACTGCCTGTGAGAAGTTTTATTCCTTATCTTAAAGGACACTGCCTAGGGTTCGAATTTCCGTTTCACCTAGGTTATAATTTAGATCCAGGCTTTTGCAGTGTCTTGCACCAAATGGTATAGAGATCCAGCTATACTAGGCCAGTCTGGCTCGGCAAACCAGTGATATGAGGAACTGTTCACGCCACTGAGGTATGATGATAGATTCGATACCCACTTTGATGACCCCCATGGTATTGTCAAATTTGCCAAACGTGAGATAAAACCATACTCATACTATCTCCAGGCTCCTTTCTACGGAGTGATCTTAGCGCTAAGACTCTCATACATCTGTGTTAAAGTATGAGAGTTGTGATCATCTTGCACTAAGATCACTGTATGGAATGAGGCTCAGGACTCCGTTCCTCAAAGCAACCATACTGCTACGGGTGTTGTACGTTAATGTTAAAGCGTGGGGATATTTTTTTACAACTGTTCCCTTTTTTTCCAAGTGCTATATCGCGGGGCACAGATGGCCCAGTCGCTGTGCAGTGTTGTGCCCCTAGGGCATGCCAGAAACCTATGATTGTGGGTTCGAATCCCGGTTCGCCCCGATTATGTTTCTAGGTTTGTCAGCACTATACCCATGCTCATGGGTTTCACCGAAGTGGTAAATGTCTGAGACCTGCATCACTTCAGGCTTTCCTCCCACGTTAAGCTGACATGCCGTGATATAACTGGAACAGTTAAAAGCGGCGTTCAACCCAACTCTCTCACTCACTCACTCACTATGTCATGTATGTTTCAGCCGCTGACACGCCCCCTTGTGGCGCTGTGTGACTTCCAGATCCAGCATGGTGCCGTGCAGCACCAGAGCAGGGAGTTCAAGATCGAGAATGGTCTGTGGAGTAAGGAACTGCCAAAATCGGTAAAGAAACGGTTAGAAAAAAGAAAACAAGAGAAGGAGACCTACTCATAACACAGAGAGTCCGATCAGTGGGACGGAAGAAACCAAATATGGACTACGTAGACACAGGCAGTCCGAGGTGCTGCATGTGAAGATGGAAGATGGAAAGTTGTGTGGAATCCTTGGTTTCAATTTTGGACATTTTCAGTTCAAAGGTCATCACAAACAATATGTGTATGGACCATCCTATCCGTGAAGATCTGGGTTGGAATAGGTCTTCAGCAACCCATGCTTGTCGTAAGAGGCGACTAACGGGATCGGGTGGTCAGGCTCTCTGACTTGGTGGATGCATGTCATCGTATCCAAATTGCGTGAATCGATGTGCATGATGTCAGTCACTGGATTGTCTGGTCCAGACTCGATTATTTACAGACCACCGTCATATAGATGGAATATTGCTGAGTGCGGTGTTAAACAACAAATAAATGTTGGTAAGGAGTTTGTGTTGAGATGAATGTACCTGGCAGAGAACCAATGAGGAAGAGTGAAACAACTGCCACGGGACTAACATAGGACTTTTCAAGCTGTATGCGGCCTGGACAAGATTCACAACACTTGGCTTGGTTCTACAAGGTGTTTTGATATTTAGGAGTGGGTTGGAGAATAAGGCAAAGTGTGGATTTTGAATTATTCTGTGGCCAAATTTACAGGTGCTTTTACAATCCTTTATATGAGCTTCAAACAAGAACGGTGTTGTGATGAAAATCTAAGCTGTGACTTACTTTATCATGTGTCGATGAAAACAATATTGAACAAAGTAATGACCTGGTAACAAATTGCAGGAACAGTTATTGTACAGTACTGTTTTTATAAGTTTATTTTTCAATTTCTACTGATAAATGTTTCCTGTAAATCCTATATGAAAAAAACAACTAATAGTATTATCCAGATTCTAGATTTGTCAAATATATTGTCTGACATCCTGGATAGTAAATACTATCATTATTGGTTTCAGGCAATGTGTGGGACTGGTTTCATCTGAACAGTAGTCATTGTGCTTGTGCAGGGTTGTGAGTGTATGTGCAGGGTTGTGAGTGTATGTGCAGGGTCGTGAGTGTATGTGCAGGGTTGTGAGTGTATGTGCAGGGTTGTGAGAGAATGTGCAGGGTTGTGAGTGTATGTGCAGGGTTGTGAGTGTATGTGCAGGGTCGTGGGTGTATGTGCAGGGTCGTGGGTGTATGTGCAGATGTGAGAGAATGTGCAGGGTTGTGAGTGTATGTGCAGGGTCGTGAGTGTATGTGCAGGGTCGTGGGTGTATGTGCAAGGTTGTGAGTATGTGCAGGGTTGTGGGTGTATGTGCAGGGTTGTGAGTGTATGTGCAGGGTCGTGGGTGTATGTGCAAGGTTGTGAGTGTATGTGCAGGGTTGTGAGTGTATGTGCAGGGTTGTGGATTTATGTGCAGGGTTGTGAGAGAATGTGCAGGGTTGTGAGTGTATGTGCAAGGTTGTGAGTGTATGTGCAGGGTTGTGAGTGTATGTGCAGGGTTGTGAGTGTATGTGCAGGGTCGTGGGTGTATGTGCAAGGTTGTGAGTGTATGTGCAGGGTTGTGGATTTATGTGCAGGGTTGTGAGAGAATGTGCAGGGTTGTGAGTATGTGCAGGGTTGTGGGTGTATGTGCAGGGTTGTGAGTGTATGTGCAGGGTTGTGAGTGTATGTGCAAGGTTGTGAGTGTATGTGCAGGGTTGTGAGTGTATGTGCAGGGTTGTGAATTTATGTGCAAACTTGTGAGTGTATGTGGGGAATCAGTTCTTAGTTGACGAGGTAAAGATGTCACAAAACAACAAAACTTTGTTTTTGTCAATTTTTTTTACTTCGCCTTCTAAAACTTTTGCGAATAAGCAAATATGACCTGAACTTTGTGCAGACACCTCGTCGCCCAGTCGTCTTCAATCTATATCATACTTTCAAATGCAAAGATCATGGGCTTAAAAACTGCTGGTCAGTATACAGCATTTAGACATTGCTATGTCTGTTTGTTGTTTAACGCCACAATCACCATTATTTCAGCTATATGATGGCAGTCTGTAAATAATCAAGTCTGGACAAGACAATCCAGTGATTGACGTCCTTAGCATCAATCGACGTAATTTGGCATTGCTATGTAGAAATGTAGCAATGGTATAGAAATATTGTATTATGCTGAAATAGTACCAAATTATACAATTCAAGTCAAGATGCCCATGAAGTATGATCATTGGTACAGCCAGGCCTGCTGGTATTTAACCTCTAGTTATACAAGGAGAATGACCCCTGAAGATCTTCAGCAACCCATGCTTGCCGTAAAAGGCGACTATGCTTGTCTTTAAGAGGCGATAAACGGGATCGGGTGGTCAGGCTCGCTGATTTGGTTCATGCATGTCATCGATCCCAATTGCGTGGATCAATGCTCATGATATTAATCACTCGATTGTCTGGTCCAGACTCGATTATTTACAGACCGTCGTCATATAGCTGGAATATTGTTGAGTGCGGCGTTAAACAACAAACCAACCAACCAACTAGGAGAATGGACTACTGTAATGTGCCCGCAATGGCGTGATAACAGTTTCAATGGTTCAAAAAGAGGTGGGGGGTACGGGTGGCCCAGTCGTCTAAGGCGCCGCGATTCGCTGTGCAGAGTTGCGTCCCTTGGGAACACCAGAAACCTATGATTGTGGGTTCGAATCCCGGTTCGCCCCGATTATGTTTCTAGGTTTGTCAGCACCGTACCCGTGCTCGTTGGTTTCACCGAAGTGGTAAACGTCTGAGACCTGCATCACTTCGGGCTTTCCTCCCACATTAAGCTGACACGCCGTGATATAACTGGAATACTGTTATAAAGCGGCGTTAAACCCAACTCACTCACTCACTCACTCACTCACTCAAAAAGAGGAGTCCGGCAAAGGACTGAAACACGTCTTTGGAGTGTGGCACTGTTTTCAGCTTGTCCACAGTCCTCGCTTTGATTGTGGTTTGTGGTTCATGGATTACTTGTCGCTCTAATCAATTACGTGTCCTGGGTGATCGCAACAACACATTGAAGATACCACAGACATTTCTCCGCTATCAAACGTGTTGAAGAGATGTGAATTGAATCGATGTATCGTCCAACTTTCTGACGACGTGTCCCTGGTTCATCCCAACATTCCTCTTGGGAAATGAAGACATTTATTCTCTCTGGGAGAAGGGTCTGCACATCACCATCCGTGCTGCATTCAATCAGATGACTGGCCCGTGATCGCCGTAGTGCAATAAGCAGGACGTCTTCGTATACTGTCCCGTATTTATGCACAGACCAGCGGGTATGGAGACAAATCCGTTCCATCTGGAATCTTGCCTGAACGTTAACAGTACCATTCGTATTCGTGTCGCATTCGTGGTTTTGATCGCCTCGGGAGGAATATACTGCAGACGGACTTCTGAAGATTCGTATGCTTGAGAAACGCCAGAGGCTTCCATACGTCCTGGTAATTTGACATCCCATTCCAATAAAATAGATATTCATTTTCCCGAAAAGGAATAAGTTTATGTGTTGCAATGGTAGGTTATGCATTCGAGTTCCCTTTGATTATTTGGACAAGGCTATCCGTATTCCTCACCCGAAACACTTCCCGTCTGCAGTTGTCGTCTGCTTCTGTCAACTGTCGTCTGCTTCTCGGCTGTTTTGTCCCTCACGGACCCAGCCTGTGGTGGTGCAGATGTGAAGTAATGCTTTTGAGTTCTTTTTCTGCAATAATAACACAGGAAGAATATCTATACTCCACTGAATATATATAATGTAGAATCTACTCAAGTAAGATTGAGAATTCCACTTATATGTTTGTGAAAGATCTATTGATAAATTGCCAACACCATGTTAATGGCCCATAAGCAATAGCATCTCGCGCCATGGAAAAGGAAAACTTGTATTTAAACGTACATACAAAAGCATAATCAATGAGAAGTTCTGGTGAAATAAGGGGCACGAGTTACCCAATGGTGGCGGGTGCCACGGCTTCCTGTGAGATGTATTCTCTTATCTTTAAGGATAATCACTGGGGTTGTAATTTAGAACCAGGCTTGTACAGTATTTTGCACCACATGTCAGTCTGGCCAGCAAACCAGTAATCTGAGCAACAATCCATGCCATTGGGGTACGATAATACACGATGAACCGTATCAGGGTGGCCCAGTCTCAGGCGCGTCTGCGTCTGCGTCCCTTTGGCTCGCAAGAAACCTATGATTGTGGGTTCCCGATTAGCCCTGATTATGTTTCTAGGTTTGTCAGCACCATACCCGTGCTCGTGAGTTTCACGTGATAAACGTCTGAGACCTGCATTACTTTGGGCTTTCCTCCCACACCAAGCTGACGGGCCGTGATATAACTGGAATACTGTTAAAAACGGTGTTAAACCCAACTCAGTCGACCATATCAAATTGCCACCCAATCCTCATTTTAGTCGTAGCTTAGCATGAAATACTGGGGACCCTTTCTTCCCATATTTGACTTAGAAAATTGTTCAGTCATAATGGCCCGTGGGGATGCCGGGTTAGAATTGCTCCCCAGCAACCTATGCCGGTCGTAAGAGGTGACGTGATGGATCGGGTGGTCAAGCTTGGTGACGTGGAAGATGATGTCATCATGCCCCGACGGCGTGGATCGCTGCTCACATTATCGATCATTGGATTGTTGTCTGATCCAGACAAGATTATTTACAGGCCTATTCCCAAGAAGGGGTCACGGGCGGCCTAATGTGTCCCCGAGGCGTGCCTGAAACATGTGATCGTGGGTTCGATTGCAAGATTCGCCCTCATAATGTTTGTAGGTTTGTCGGCGCCATACTCGTGGGTTTCACCAAAGAGGTAAACATCCAAGACCTGCATCACTTCGGGCTTTCCTCCCACATCAAGCCGACACACCGTGATATAACATTCGACCCGTGAAGATCCGGGTTAGAATAGGTCTTCAGCAATCCATGGTTGTTGTAAGAGGCGATTGTGCTTGTCGTAAGAGGTGACTTACGGGGTCGGTTGGCCAGGCTCACTGACTTGGTTGCGCATGTCGTATCCCAAATGAAAGATGCTAGGTGATATCAATCACTGGAATGTCTGGTCCATATTCGAATATTTACAGACCGCCGTCATATATCTGGCATGTTGTATAGTGCGGTGGCAAACAACAAACGCTCACTCATTCTCAAGATAAAATAAACGGATTTTTAGACATATTTACCCCATCCTCCGATAGAATTCCGCAAGAGGTAATGCCGATCTGAACATGGGTCTTGGTGAACAACTCCCTCATCCACGACTCTACAAGACTTCATCAAGATCTGCTTTAATATCCGCCCACCTTTATATCAACAAAACACGTAGCTAAAGTCAGCGATTAGAAAATCCCAAGGATGACTCTGGTCCATAAACAACCCTGAAGTAATATTCGCAACTTATCTGTGCTGCATTAGACGATGATGTCGAATACAAACATCATGTTTATTAATATGCGCTTACGCATATCTAGGGGGAAAATAAACACGATCGAGGAGTCGGTCAGTTTCGTATAAACACTGCCTTCACTGTCGACAGCACGACAAATGAAAACAAACATTGTGTATATTTATTCAAGTAGTATGAGTTATGTTATCTGTGTTAGCGTATGAGCTATATTTACCACTGGGCTCATGTAAACACGACTCCGCGTGTGATTAATACAGTGCTTGTTGATGGCTGCAATAACACGAGAAGGATGTCAGCAAATATTTTGAACTGTCTGTATTCTGACATTGGGTTAAGCTAAGTTCAGGATGAAGCTTATTAGAGCAACATGCGCAGATACACATATATCCTTGTTTTGTATCTTTAGCAGGCTTCTTCAAATATAAGATAGATTTCTATTTTCGTAAATATAATTTTATATTCTTGATGTTTACTTTCAGGCGTCTGTCGTTTTGTTCAACAGGAGTGGTCGGCGGTATTCCAGCAGGATATACAACAACGGTCTGTAAATAATCAAACCTGGGCCAGACACCAGTGGTTGATAGCATGAGCAACGCTCCACGCCGTCGGGGTAAAATGACACGCGGTCAACCAGAACATACTTCTTATCATCGGATTGAGGGGTTACTAACATAACGGCAACACTATGGTACTTACAATTGTGGAATGCATTTCACACATGAATACCATCGTTATGTTTGCGTCATGTTGGTATCTCAAAGCAAGAGTAAGAGTGACCATCATTACGAAGATTTGAGAAGGAAAGATATATCATGTCAACCCCAGAGAATAATAGGTCTCGATTTTTGCCGAAAACAGTTCGAAACCAGAGCAGCGCTGAACATGATATGAATCGATCACTGAAAACCAGTGAGGACATCATGTTTTCGCGAAAAGCCTCATCTTGTATTTCAAGTATGTAAGAGTAATCGCAATCATAATCACGAAGAATTGTTGTCTTTTTGTTGTTTAACGCCGTTCTCAGCAATATTCCAGCTATATGACGGCGGTCTGTAAATAATTAAGACTGGAGCAGACAATCCAGTGATTTACATCATGAGCATCGATCCACGAAATTGTGATACGATGAAATGCATCAACCAAGTCAGCGAGCATGACCACCCGATCCCGTTGGTCGTCTCTTACGACAAGCAAAGTCGCCTCTTACGGCAAGTATGGGTTGCTGAAGACCTATTCTGTCCCGGATCTTCACGGGTCCACGAAGAATTGAGAAAGTGTAAGCCAACCTGTCACTTAACCCTTCTTCGGAAGCAGACCTCGGGAACTGATTCAAGATATCATTGTGTGACGTTGTGGAGATGTTGGCCAAGT